TTTGGGGTCGGCGGTAAGGTGGTTAGAAGTTGTGTAGAGCAATTTGTGATGAGAACAGAGATGACGAGGAACTCATATCTGTCCTTTGATGTCAACCTTGCGGAAAGCCTCACTTCTGGCGGAGTCGAAGAGGGCTCCGGCTTTGCCGGTCAAGAGAGCAATAGACTCTTGACGTTCCTCGAGCAGATGCTGACCGTTGTAATCGACAATGAATTGAGCCGCATCAACGTCGGACTCGAAGCCGAGTTCCTCCGTGATGAACCGTAACTTTACGTCTGGCTTGTATCTATGTCCAAGTTAGCAATGTGATGCTATATTATGAATATGGGTTGAACTTACGCTTTGCAAATGTTGCACAGAGCAGCTAGACGCTCACGAACGACGAACATGTCCATAAGGTACGCACCCATGTTAGGGGTGTCCAGGTAAAGCTGGAAGAACTTGTGGTAGTTACCCAAGGCAAGAGCGGACCGCACCTGAAGCGCATGCTTGATGGGTCGCTCCTCCTTCTCTGCTGTGGTTAGATCTGCCAAGGCATCATTCAGGCCGGTACGGTTGGCAGTGTGGATAAAGTACAAAATGCGATAGGCCTTGAACTCGATGGGGTTTCCTTTCAGTCCCTTTGCGTACAGAGTACGCAGCTGGGTTTGGCACTGATTATACTCACCAAGGTCCCCCTTCTCCAACGCAATTCGAGCGTGGAGTTCGTAAACGGTGACTGTAAAGTCGTTCTTGATCCGCTGCACTGTCAGGTCTTGCCGCATGGATTTCAGCTGGTCGCAGATGTAAGAGTAGTTGCCCTCCTTCTTCCACTTCTTCTTCAGGAGATCCATCGTCTTGTGAAGAACGCGCTCGGGCCGAACCATGGAGGCCACGGGAGGAGCGGTCAGACGCAGGTAGCGCTTCTCCAAAGTCTCGCTGGTACCGACGACGGGTCCATCAGAGGGCGGAGGGCTGGGCGATCGATACGACGATTTGTAGCCGCCATCGAATCGGCGTTGACGTTTCTCCAACTGCTTCTGGAACTTACTTGACTTGGGCAGTGGCTCATCGAGGTTGGCGCGTTTGTCGGGGGAGGCGAAGGTGATTCGGTCTTCCAGTGCGTTGGATCGGTTGCTGTTAGTAGTACGCCAAGGCACGGCAGAAGACTTTTCATCCGGGGTAAAATCAGACGACTTTCTCTTCTTGGGGTTGGCAGACACTGAACCATCATATCGCGATGCAAATGGAGACGAGACGTTCATAGCGGAGTTGAGCTGGGACTGGCGCTCGTTTCGGATCAGATCGGAGGGGAAGGGCATCTTCTCCCAGTCGGTCGACTCGAGAGTGCCGTTCTCCATGTGCTGGGAAATGGTCTCCTTCAACTTGGCTTCAATCTCGGGGCGTGGCACGGAGGGGTCCATGTTGTGAGGGAGGAAAGACCGTTGGACGTAATCGCGGACGGAGGGTGGCCATTCAACCTTTCGTGGAGCCGGGGCAGGAGCAACAGGAGCAACTTGGTCGAAGGGAGCAGCCAAGGGAGGCGGCGAAGTACTGTAGGCAGGTGCAGCGGGTGGGGGAGGATACTGGCCGAAGCTTTGTCGAGCCTGGACTGCGGTGTATGCTGGATCTAGGATAACAGCGTCAGTAAATCGGCTAAGAACATCGTCAAGTCGAGAGGAGGAAGACTCACTGGGAGGGTAAGCATAGTTTGCGGGAGGTACTCCATAGGCAACGCCTGGAGGCGGTGCCGGAGGCCAACTAGTGGGCATCATTGTGAGGGCTGAGCGGATCGATCTTGGAGAATTCTGAATCGAAAAATTAGTCTTGATCGGTCAGAACAAGTATATCTATCGATATTTTGTGGTAGTGGTCGACTGAAAAAGGTGTCGAAATGTCGAAGAGTCGAAGACGCGTTGGTGATGGAAGGGGGAAGGATGAAGTGAGGTTGGGAAGAAGCCGTGAAAGGTGAGGGCGGTAACAAAATGACGGTGGCCCGTGTGCGGGATTTCAGGTAATAATAGTGGGGATCCGAGCCAAACAGTGCCCTTGTGCCTTGTGGCCAGAAACTTTGGTTGTCACTGGCACAGGGTGCAACCTCGATGATTACCTAATGCACCACAAATGCACCCTCATGCACACCGCTAGCAACAAAAAGGGACTATCGCTATAGTGGGGTCGGCGACATCCCACCTAGGTTGGATGTCCAGTTCCCCCTCCACTCGACCGGTGCTTCTCCGTGGGGCAGTTGTGTTGCGAGAGATAAACTGACGCCTGGCATAGAAGCTGTTGGTTGAGTTTCTTCAGCCCCAACAACATTCCACTGGACTTGGTTCGGTGTCTCGAAACCTGTGGAGTTCTCTCTTCTACCCTCGAATCATGCGCAACCCTTGAAATAGCTGCGAACCCGGCTTCCGATCCCCTCCTTGAACCAGCCCGAGACTGTCCCTGACGTATGCGACAACCCGCGGCAAACAGCCCCCGCCATACTTCAACACCTTCCAACCAAACCCCAGTTTTGCGCGAGCTTCAATATCCTCAGCACTCTCGTGAATAATATGACGGATGTTTCTAAAACACATCGACCTCACGACCGCTCTCCGGCCTTCCTACCTACCGGATGAAGTCTTGTTGTTCGTCCAGGACAATGTTGGGCTCTATGAAGGGTAAATACCATTGCTCTGAACCTGTTCCACGCTTCTCGCCATGATCTAGCATGCTGACAAGATATGTTCTTTTCCCCAGAAAGTTCAAACTACCTCAACAGCAAAACGGTCAGGTCTACTTAACGTCCCACCGAATTTGCTATGTCGACAAGGACGAGCCGCGCAAGCATTCCGTTGCCCTAGACCTGAAAGACATTGATCGATATGAGTTCTACGCGGGGTTTCTGAAATCTTCTGCAAAGATCACCCTGATCCCCAAGCCAATAAAACGCTCGTCGCTTCAGACTAGAGCGTCTGCGATATCTACACCTGGGAGAAATGGCACAGGGTCACCAGCTCGAGCCGATGGCCCTTACCGACCGCCGCCCGAACCAGCAAGCGCAGCAACGTGGGTTTGCACCATTTGCAGCTTCTCCAACCCGGTCCCCTCAAACTTTGATCCAACGACGGCAAACATACACACCCCGCTGCCACCATGTCTTGCTTGCGGCATCAAGCCGACGTTGGCGCACGTTCTCAAGGCTTCTATATCGAATGCGACCAGCCGCGCCCCGCCAGCCACTCCTTCAAGTCCAACAGTCAGCTCGCCCCTCGCGATGCGCCCTCGGTCGACCTCCAACAGGCCCGACGACAACGCAGGGCCTCCGCCTCCCTGGCCAGCGGCCTCGAACATCAACGGCGGTGCCCCGCCGAAGCCAACAGACCCAAGCGCGACGTTCCAATGCCCCCGATGCACGTTCTCGAATCACCCGTCCCTGCTGTCATGCGAGATGTGCGGGGCACCCTTGATATCGCAAGACCTGCCCCAGGCAGTCGTCACTCAGGCGCAGACCCAGAGGACAGAGTCTCCAGGCCCGGTCCTCACAACATCCTCGCCCGGCCAGGATACCGCCGAGAACATCAAAATCTCCTTCCGGGGAGGCGGAGAGAAGATATTCTACGAGCGGCTCAAGGGCGCGTTGACGCAGCGCAAGTGGCTTCTGCAGGGAGCGCCGCCCGTCCCCAAGAGCAATCGCACCATAGACGACAACGGCGCCCTCGTACGCGCGCCCGCGGCGGTGCCCGAGCGTCCCAAGGGCGTGGGCATCGCGGGTCTGGAGCAGCGCGGGCTCGATATGCGCAAGAACAACGAGGTGATGATTGGCAGCGCGTTTGAGGATCTAGACGCCCTCATGGCCTCCGCCAAGGAGATTGTGGCCCTCGCGGAGAGGTTTGCGCGGCAGAACGGCGGGACGGGCGCCGAGGCTAATGCTCTGCTGGCGGAATCAGCCAGCCAGCTGGGTCTTGTGACAACCAAGGATATTGTAGGCGGGAGCAGCTCCGAGACGCTGTACCTGTCCGAGTTGTCGAGGAATCTGGCAGAGTTCCTCACAGACGATGCGCGAGGTGTTTTAAAAAAGGCGGGTGGGATCATCAACTTGGTTGACCTGTGGGCCATGTTCAACCGCGCCCGGGGTGGCGTCGAGCTCGTGAGCCCTATGGACTTCGAAAAGGCCTCTCAGATGTGGGAGTCACTCAAACTGCCCGTCCGGCTGCGAAAGTTCAAGAGCGGTGTGCTGGTCGTCCAGAGTAGCGATCGCACCGACGAGACCACCATCAAGGCACTGGTGTCCTGGCTGGGCGACTTACACGAGTTCCCGCCGGACAAGGAGCTGGCGTGGGACTGGCGACAGTTTGGCCGCGGCGTGACAGCGCGGGATGCCGCGGAGCGGTTTGGCTGGAGCATCGGCGTGGCGGAGGAGGAGCTGGAGATGGCTGAAGAAAGGGGCGTGGTCTGTCGCGAGGACGGCATCGAAGGGCTCAAGTTTTGGAAGAATTATATTGATGTTGGCGACGTGAAGCACCGTAGGCGCAGGAAGCATCGCGAAGAGGACGAGGTCATGAAGGCGCTTAGAGAGAGTGGGTTGATGTGAGATTGCGGGAAGCTGTTTCTTGGTGTAACACTGAAAAACCTTTGGATATATGTCTATATCGGGCTGGGCTGTTACGTTCCTCGCCGGCGCGATTTGCAGACGATTAGAGCGCGCATTACTATTCTACAAGTGTGTCTTTGTGTGTGTTGATGTGTAAGTGTGTGTGTGTGTGCTGTGGGGGTTTCTCCCGGTCTGTCGTCTCTATGTAAGATGCCCAGTTTCCTTGAACCCGGCGGCCTGGATTGGTACCACCTCCCAATGTCTTGAACCCATCTAATGCCAAAAGAAAGAGCCCGGAAACGCCGTCCCATGTGAACCAATGCCAAAGAGGAAGGTTCTCAATAAACATAAAAACAAGTCATCTGGCCACCCGTCTGGCAGCTCTTATTCGGAAAAGGGGGGGAAAGGAAACAACCTAAATCATGCCAGTCGGGTTTGTGTTTCATTTCTCCGCCCTTTCCATGAGACTCAACCTCACCTTGCGGTTCACGACACCACCAACACCGTACGCCGGAATAATACGGCAGATTCTCGCCATGGTGCTGATACCCCAGTTCTTAGCCACAGATTGCCACCGGTTCTGCCACGAGACGGGGGTCGCAGCGGCGTTGGGCCGGTTATACACGTCCAACCCAAGCAAATGCAACGGCGTGCTGGCGAGCTGCACCATGGCCGGCGCGGCAAACTGCACGACGGTCAACCCGCTCACCTTCTTCCTCATCTCCTCGCCCATCCGCTCATTCAGCCAGGGCCCCAATCTCGGTGGGACATTAAAGCTCGCGAAAATCGTCATGCAGTCGCGCAAGGTAAACAGCGCGTAGGTGAGCATCGGTACGGGACGGGGCGTGGCGCCGGGGGGACCAAACATGCGCGCAAAGACTTGGTCTTTGTACATGCAGATGCCAATGTTTGCGGTGCTCGAGGCGGCGAATTTTGCGGTGCCCGAGGTGACGGTGGAGGCGGAGTGGTTGTGGATGGTGGAGGAGGCGGTGTCGAGGGTGTTTGCTGTGAGGTAGGTGCCGCCGTAGAGGGCGAAGATGAGGGCGAAGGGTTTGGAGAGGACGACGGCGTGGGGGCGGAGGAGGAGTTCTTTTAGGCAGGAGCGGACGCATTCGCCTAGGGGCCGGCGGCCGGAGGCGTTTTCCATGATGGAGCTGGTCAAAATGTGTTAGATTCGTGGTTTTTGCGAAGCAGTTGTGAGGAGGATTGAGGGTATCGAGGATCATGGCGAGGCTGCTTACCGGTCAATGATGGAGACCAGGGGCGCGACCAAGGTGCCGGCGCACGCTGCGCTGAAGAGGTCGGCGCCGAGGCGGAAGCCCAGGTTCTTGGTGTTCCATGTGGTTTTTGCCTCGTCGCCCATTTTGCTCTCCATGTCGACTTTCTGGGCTAGCGCCAGCGGACTTGGGGGTTTGATCTTGAGGTCTGGGGTGACGGGTGCGGAAGCGGCGGCGGCGGCGGCAAGCCCTTGTGGTCTTGAGTCTCGTTCCGCCATGCGGGCGCAGTTGTGTGTGTATGTGTGTTGGAGAGAGAGGGAGTTGAAGCTCTCACGATGCTTCGCTTGGTTTTCCGGGTGGTCGATTTCGCAGGCGGCCGGGGGTGGCTGCGATTGCGCTGGACCGGGTGGTTTCCCGACGTTCGGTTTGCGACGGGTGATGTCAATAGACGGGTTCGGGTTGGAGGAGGTGACGTATCGGCGTGGGTGACGTCGCGAGGGTCGGAGTTTGGGGGAAGCTAAGGAAGCTCTCCAAGGACGGGACGACACAAACGAATGGGATGGAGGTCCTTTTACCTCAAGAGGAAGGATGAGGCGGGGGGGAAGAAAAGGCAATGGGGAAGGACTACGGTCTATGGATAGAGCGTGGGAGAGAGAACAAGGGAAGACCAAGACGAAAAAGGACAAGAGCTACGGTAGAGCTACACTTTGGACACAATCCCATGGGTTTGAAGAGAATAGAAACCAGACCAGCCCGGGACGCAGCTTTTTTGCGACCTTGGTGCCGGGCACGACGCGCCAAATTATGGCCGTCTCGAGGAGCTCAGAGTCAGACAAGCGACCCCGGGACGGGACCGTAGTCCGTGGCAGAGAGGAAAAAATAGCAGAGCCCTGGACTCCTGGAGTCCCATGGGATAAAATAAAGTGGATTACTGCAAGGTATTCCGTATCACATCCATGGTGCTACGGGTGAAGGTGGACGAATGGCTGCTCGAAAATTTCAGCTTACTGGAGACCGAAGTCGGAGATAGTCGGTACGATGGGGCCCGAGGAATGCCCACTGGTACAACTACCTTTGCCTTAGCTAAGAGTCAAGTACAGGGAGATATTGCTTTGACATCTTAAGATAGGATACCTTACCTTGGGCAACTTGAGCGAGACATTCGTGCCTAAATTTCAGACGTCTTATCAGTCCTTGGAACGGTTGTTTTAGGAGTTCCTGTGCTCCGTAGAGTGTAGGTCGAACGGACATGGCATTTTTCTCTCCAATGTCTCCATCGCAGGAACCCATCCTGAGCCACTGTAAATAATGGGGGTCCTTTGGGGGGTTGGTGCACTTTGGAGAGCTGGGGCCCTGAGGGACGTGAGTCGGACTCGGGAAACATGGGACGGGACCAGTAAACACCAAGGGAGACGCTCGTTTTGGTGATTGGTGGGGGTCACACGGGGACTCCCCATCAACAGAGAGTCCCATCGACAGGAGCCTCCACCAGTCTCCAATGACCAAGTGAACGGTTCCCGGATACCGTCCGCGTTGGCCTGACATATGAATATGTGGACAGTGTGACAGTGGACAGTCAATCCCGGAAATCGCGTGATGGCATGACTTTGAGTGTCGAGAGTGTTTGTTCGCTTCGGACATGCCCCTAAAGTGACCAAACGAGAGAAGACGCCCGCCTAGAGGCATCTCCAAGAGTGGGTCCCCTCGTCGGCTACTCTCCCGTTGGCCGTCCGGTTTCCTTCCGGGGGAGCGACATGGACCCACCCGACCTCGGGACTCTGGGATTGGATGATTGGGTTTACGCTACGTACCCGACCCGACCAGTGGGTCCCACGACCTGAGTACCTAGGTATACTAAGGTAAGGTAAGGTAGGGTACGTTCCGCAGCTTAGCTAAGCTTTTCGCTCGAGAAGCCGGGGGGCCGCGTGGTTGGAGTACGTACCTGGTTCCGTACCTTCCATATCCTCTTGGCGAATGTCTCTCCAGCATGGAAGTCTGGATATTGATAAAGTGACCCGGGACTCTGAGGCCGTGCAATCCGAATCAAGAACTTCCATTCAGATAAAGCTACAAGAAGACGAGGAGGAAGCACGACAATCCTCTGAAAATACCTAAAATGGGATTCATACACAATTGCGTGCTTGCTTATCAACCTACCCTATTTACTAACTTTATACGAATACCTTACAGATACCTTTCGTTAGGCCAAACAGGCACCAGCATGTGCAACACAGCGCACATCCCATGCCATCCAATCCTTAGGTTCCTTTCCAGGTTTACTTCCAGAGCCGGCTAAGATATTCACCGTCTCCAAAACCGCCCCAAGGCCCAAGCAGGAAGGTAAGAGGAAGGTAAGCAATCGGACAAACTCAAGGGAACTTTGGGAAGCTTAACGTGTTGACCTACAAGGGCTGTCGCGTCCCTGGAGACTGCATGCGTCACCCTCATTCGTACGTCTGATTAACCTGCTGCCTTTTTCAACCGCGTCTGATCCTCTCGCAGCAAAGTGTCAGCACCATAGTTTGTTTCAATTGAATTCATCTCACTGTATCGATATCACTGCGTTGCATTCCTTCCCTCCATCGTGAATACCACCTACAATCCCAAGTCTACAGCCATCATTCCGTCCAGCATGCGCGTGGCAAAGGAATTCACCCCCGAGGTGCTCCTGAGCGCACCCCGCCGCGGCGCCGCCGTCCCCAGCCCGGACGGCAAGCTCATCCTCTACACCCAGTCCACCCACAGCTTCGACGATAACAAGACCCTGAAGGAGGTCCGCCTCATGCACGTCGAGTCCGGCGCCTCCGACCAGCTCACCGACGACGATAAAGTCCACGACGCCCTGTGGCTGCCCGGCACAGCGAGCGACATTGTCTACTTGAAATCCGGCGAAAAGGGCACCACTCAGATCTGGATCGCCAACGGCGCCGAGCCGGCCAAGGAGCACTATGTCGCTGCAGAGTACGACGCGCCCATCAGCGCACTCAAGGTCAAGGCGCTGGGTGATGGGAGTGTCGGGTTCGTCGTTGCTGGGCTGGTTGGGCCCGATGGGTCTCTGTTCAATGACAAGACCGAGGAGAAGAGGTCCACGGGCCGAATCTTTGACGATTACCACATGAGGCGTGTAAGTTTGGGAGGGAGGTTTTCGGCGGGCCGTAATCGGTGAGATGTTTCGTGACTAATGGAACCTCGTGTTAGTGGAACGAACTGATTAAACCTCACAAATACGCTCTCTGGTACTCGACTCTCGTCAACGCCCACGGCAAATGGGGCGTCGCGGGCGAGCTCCAAAACGCCATCAAGGGCAGTCGTCTTGAGGCGCCGTCGGGCATGTACGACGTCAGCCACCCGACGGACGCATTCGATGTCAGCGACAAGGGCATCGCCTTCATCGCCGAGGACACCGGGCTCAAGCCGGAGGACGTGGGCACCTCCCACATCTACTACGTCCCTCTCACATCCTTCACGGCCGCCGCGAGTGTCAAGCCGAGGCCTCTTGTTATGGGCATATCGGAGGCTAAGGCGTACTACTCCAACGTGAGGTTCTCGCCCGACGGCTCCAAGATTGCGTTTTTGCACAAGCCTCTCAGCAACCCCGCGGACGCCAGGTTGTACATGGGCCACACTGCGTCCTTTGGCGCCTACGATGTGCACAAGATGATCTTTGGCAAGGGCCCGAGTCTGCCGCCCAACGGGTTCGAGTTCGCGGGCAGCTCTGATGCCATCTTTTTGCAGACGGAGGATTGCGGGCGGGTGAAGCTGTCGCATGTTGAGCTCCGTCACGGTGCAGAGGCGACGTCGCTGACGTCGAGCGGCGTCGTCTCGGCTTTCTACCCTCTCAAGGAAGGCAGCTATGACAAGGTCCTGGTGACGAGCAATAGCTTCGTTGATAGCAGTCTGTGGCAGATTATCGATGTCTCGTTAAACACGGCGCCAAAGATTGTGTCGTCGGCTACGAAACACGGCGCAAAGTACGGGCTGTCTCACAGCATGGTCTCTGAGTTTTGGTACGAAGGCGAGGATGACAACATTGTGCACTCCTTCATCATCAAACCGGCCAACTTTGACAAGACCAAGAAGTACCCTTGGATTCTCTTACCTCACGGCGGGCCGGAATCATCTTGGACGGATTCATGGTCAACAAGGGTTAGCTAGTCCCCTCTCTCTCTCTTACGTATAATGGACCTCGACTAATACCTGCCAACAGTGGAACATGGCCCTCTGGGCCCAGCAAGGCTACGTCCTCATCGCGCCCAATATCGCAGGCAGCACAGGCTACGGCGTCGACTTCACAGCCCGCATCTACCGCTCCTGGGGCGGGGCCCCCTTCCAAGACCTCGTCCGCCTCATGGACCACCTGCAACAAGTCCCCTACCTCGACCAGGACCGCGCCGTCGTCGCGGGCGCCTCGTACGGCGGGTACATGATCTCCTGGATGAACGGCCACGACCTGATCCGCCGCTTCGCCTGCTCCGTCTGGCACGACGGCATCTTCAGTTTGCCCGTGTTCATGCTGCAGAGCGACGTTGTCGATGGGGGCCCCGATTTCGGGGGGCCGCCGTTTTTGTGGGATAATGCCGAGGAGATGGAGCGGTGGAACCCGGCGCGGCCGGAGCTATTGCGGAATTGGAGGCACGCGCCGCCGACGTTGATTATTCACAGCGAGAAGGATTATAGGTGTCCTATCACGGAGGGGATTGCTGCGTACAATACGCTCATGTGCCAGGGCGTCAAGACGAGGTTTTTGACATTTGATGATGAGTGTCATTGGGTGCTGAACCCGGAGAACTCGCTGGTTTGGCACAAGACTGTTTTTGACTGGATGGAGAGGTTTACGGGGGAGAGCAAGGTTTAATGGGTGTTTGTGAGATGTAGAAAGAGTCCATATACGAGGAAGCTATCCGGATAGGCGGTCAGCAACAATGAATGGAACAACGTGACAAAAGTACCAAGATATTAGATACCATATGCCTTGTCTCATCCGAAATATCTCCATCCATAAGTTGGACTCTTCGATCTTGAAGTTGTAAGTGCAGTTGGTGATCGGGCACATATACCCCCGAGACTCCCGACCAAGCCATCGGGACTTCAAATCGCCGCATCAGAGGTCACAAGTGGATCTCACGGGGGGGTTTAAACTTCCGTCTCTTCCACCAATTAATCGGACATTTCAGCAGTACTACGGTAGCCCGTTCATTGACTCGGCTCCGGACGGTGCTACCCCGAGCTCAGTCGCGACGCCGTAAGTTGTAACCCAATCGGCTGACCTCAAGCTCCTCAAAATGTGGGGGGTTCCAGCGTGCGTTCCCCCCGGATGGCGACCCCGGTTGCCCCGGTCTTCAGCCGGCTTCGTGTAAGAGGGAACATCGTAGCTTTGCGAGTTGTATGTATAAGAGTGCGCAGAGTCACCTCCTTCACCTACATAGTTTCATAATATGCCCATGATCTTTGTTTCTAGGCGTGGTATATTACACCGAGAGGGTCTATCCCATCTTAGAGAACACAAACCCCTAGGCCCGTCAAGATGGCAGCCCTCATCAGGCATGAGCTCAGCCAAGGCTGGACGTTCAAACAACAAGATGACACCTCGGAGGAAGCATGGCTTCCTGTGCCTAGTATCCCCAGCCAAGTTCACGTCGATCTGCTGGCAAACAAGAAGTAAATCCCCCTCTCGCCTCGTACACTTGCAGCCAGGATCAAGACGAACCTGACATCCAAATACAGAATCCCAGACCCCTTCTTGGATATGAACGAACTCGCCGTCCAATGGGTCGCGGAAAAAATTTGGATCTACCGCCTCGCATTCCCAACGCCACCAGCATTTTCAACCGTAGCAGCAGACACGACAGCAATAACAGACCTCGTCTTCGAAGGTCTAGACACCTTTGCCACCGTCACCCTCAACGGCGCCGAAATCCTCACCTCGGACAACATGTTCCTCTCCCACCGCGTAAACGTCACACAACACCTCAAGACAGACGGTGACCGCACCAATCTCTTGGAAATCGTCTTCGACTCGGCTCTCCTCCGCGGGAGACAACTCGTCGAGGACCACGCGCACCAGCACAGGTTCATCGCGCGGCAGACGGAGCAGGGCCGTATCCCCGTCCGGAAAGCGCAGTATCACTGGGGCTGGGACTGGGGTCCGATCCTCGTGACAGCGGGGATCTGGAAGCCTGTGATGTTGGAGCGGTATGTTGCGCGGATCGATGATGTATGGGTCAAGAGCGAGGTGAGTCCGGATTTGGAGAGCGTTTCTGGCCGAATCATTGTCAAGACGCAAGGGTCTGGCGCGGAGGAGGTTGCGGTGGCGTTTAGTCTAGACGACGAGGTTGTTTTGGAGAAGCGTATGGCTGTTGCGGAGGACGGGACGGCAAAGGGAGACTTTCAGCTCGAGAAGCCTAAGTTGTGGTATCCCCTCAACAACGGCCCGCAGACGCTCTACACAATCACGACAACCCTCCACCACGCCTCTGACGTCCCGGAGAAACGGCAACCATTAGCAACACATACCCAAAAAACGGGCTTCCGCCGCGCGCAACTCATCCAAGAACCCGACGCCCTCGGCAAATCATTCTACTTCCGCATCAACAACACCGACGTCTTCGCCGGCGGCTCCTGCTGGATCCCAGCAGACAGCTTCCACGCCGCCATCCCGCCCTCGCGCTACCGCGCCTGGGCATCGCAGCTCGCCGCCTCGAACCAGAACATGTTAAGAATATGGGGCGGCGGCGTCTACGAGTCTTCAGTGTTGATGGAGGCGTGCGACGAGCTGGGGGTGCTGGTATGGCACGATTTCTGCTTCGCGTGCGGGAGTTACCCGACGTACCCCAGTTTCCTGGCCAGCGTCGAGGCGGAGGCGAGGCAGAATTTGGCGAGGCTGAGAAGGCATCCGAGTATTGTGTTGTGGGCGGGGAATAACGAGGATTATCAGGTGCAGGAGAGATATCAGCTCGAGTACCGGTTCGAGGAGGATAAGGACCCGGAGTCGTGGTTGAGGTCCGGGTTTCCGGCGAGGTATTTGTATGAGTATTTGTTACCCAAGATTGTGGAGGAGGAGAGCCCGCATGCGGTGTATCATCCGAGTAGTCCGTGGGGTGATGGAAAGCCTACGGCTGATCCGACTGTTGGGGATATTCATCAGTGGAATAGTGAGTTTTTTTTTTCTTTCTACCCCTTTTCGTGAAACAACCCAGATAGAGATAACTAACACAACCAGTCTGGCACGGCGCAATGAACAAATACCAAGAATCCCACCTCCTAACAGGCCGCTTCGTCTCCGAGTTCGGCATGGAAGGCTATCCGCACCTCACCACCACCTCCGCAATGCTCACCTCTCCAGCCCAACGCCGCCCGGGCTCCATGGCCCTTGACTTCCGCAACAAAGCCTACGACCACGAGCGGCGAATGATGACCTACATTGTCGAGAATTTCCGCGTGAGATACGACCTCGAATGGTTCACCTACCTCACGCAGCTGATGCAGGCCGAGACCATGACCTTCGCGTACAAGGCCTGGCGGCGGGATTGGGGTTCACCCGGAAAGAGGGGTTGTGGCGGCGCGCTGGTGTGGCAGCTGAATGATTGCTGGCCGACGGTGAGCTGGGCGATTGTGGATTACTGGCTTGTGAGGAAGCCTGCTTTTTATGCGATTGGGAGGGCGTTGAGGGGGATTGATGTCGGTGTTGGGAGGAGGGTTGACGAGTGGACGAAGTGTCATGCTGATCCGACGCTCGGGGCGAGGGGCATGGAGTTTGAGGTGTGGATTGCCAGTGGGCGAGCTGATGCCGTTGCTGGGGAGCTTGTGGTGCGGTTCATCTCTATCGAGACGGGCGAGGAGGTCAGAGACAGGATTGAGAAGAAGGTTGTTGCGAAGGGGAACGCGACGACCGAGGTTGTTGAGAAGTGCAAGGTCGAGGCTTTGAAGGAGACGTTTGGAGATGCGAGTGTGCCGTTCCATCCGGAGGAAGATGATCCGTTTGTTATCCATGCGACGCTGTTTGTTGATGGGAAGGCAGTGGCTGAGGATACGGCGTGGCCGCAGCCGTTGAAGTATATCGACTTTTCGGACCGCAAGGTGATTGTGGAGGTGAGGGATGGGACGCTGTTTGTCTCTGCGGAGAGGCCGGTCAAGGGGTTTATCATTCAGGAGGAGCGCGGGATGAAGTTGAGTGATAATGGGTTCGATGTGGTGCCGGGTGAGGAACGGGTTGTACGTGTTGAGGGTTACGATGTGCAGAAGTTGCGGTGGACGTATTTGGGCGCACCTGAGGCGTCTTTGGGATTGTCTGCATAGACTCTGTGGCATAGTTACGATAGTTCACAATGTTCACTAGATGAAAGGAGTATTGAAGAGGGGATCGATTCATTTTTTGTGCATTTTGTCATATCTCATTACGGGCGTACAATTACAACTACTCGAGACAGGGCAGTCTGAATTGGTGACCAATCTCCTCGACGGCGTCAGGGATTAGATGATGTCTCCTCCGAATCCTCCACCAAACCCTCCCCCGAAGCCCCCCGAGCCTCCAAAGGGGTTTCCGCGTCCCCCGCCGTGTCTGGGCATGCCACCCGGACCAAGGGGGTCCCATCTAGCACCCGGTGGCGCTTGGGGATCGTAGCCTCCACCTGCCTGAGCACCCGGCCCTCCGAAAAGGGGGTCATCAAACGTAGGGTGCATTCCGCCGCCTCCTCCGGGTCGGGGAAGACCACCGCCACCGATGAAAGATGCTCTCAGTGGGTCGTTGGGACCAAGACCAGGCGGGTTGAGGTCGTCGTGGCCGATGTTGTAGGGCGATCGACCGGGAACTCCCAGTGGGCGAGGGGGTCTGTTGATTTCGTACTCGTCTTCGAATCCGGGCGGTGGGAAGTCTCCGGCAGGAATAGGTCGTCTGGGAGGCTGGGCGAGAGGATCATTGACCGGGTATGGGCGCGCGGGATCAGGCAGGTCACCGGGTAATGGCCGTCCAGGACGGCCAGCCTGAGCGCGGCCTTCTCTCTGTGCGTTCTCCGCCGCGTCCCTATCATCGGGCGTCTCTTCATAGCCTTCAACTTGCAACTTGGGTATGAGCTTTTGAACAATCTCCGTCTTGAATTGATCAATCAGCTTGGTGACGGCAGACTCTGATACAAAAGCTTCCTTGAGCTTCTCGACCAGGTCGGTCCTGTCCTCGGAGCCGTCCTCGGTGAGTGTGATGCGCAAAGGGAGCTTTGAGTTGTTGATGACGTCCTTTGTCGTGATTTCAAATCTATGAATGACATCGTGGCCGACGGCGAGCCCGCTGATTTCGACTTTGCCGCCAACTTTACTAATCCGAATAATGGACGTCATGGACGACTGCTTGTGGGCGTATACAAAGCGGAGAGAGCCATAGCCGGCATTCCATGATGCTGGTAGACGCGGGGCGAGGCTTTGAACTTCTTCTTCTGCAGTTGGTGTTAACTGGGGGTCTGAGGCACGGGAATCAAGGATAAGGGCCATACCTATCCTCTTCTCCTCATCAAAGCCCAGAAGACGGAACTTGAGGGACGCCATGCAGGCATGCGTGAGGAGGGCAGGGAGCTCATAGCCGCTGCTAATGTCGGAGGTGGTGTCGCCCTTGGGGTGGGTAGGCAGGGCTTCTGCCATTTGTTGCAGTACAGACTGCGCGGTGAGTGGATTCGCCATGGCGGGGTTGTGCTGAGGATGGGTAGATTCCTGAGTCCTACGTCTGTGTATTTGTAAATGGTGAGATTCGAAAAGAAGTCTGAGAGAAACTTCAACGTTTATGTAGACTGTGAATGGGGCTTAGACGGTGTTGGGCTTCGTTGTGTGGTCTTGGGTTGGGCTTTACAGATGGCAGTGATTGATTGACAAAGTGTAGAAACGTCCCGGGGACAGGAGGGAGCTAAGCCCAAGCTTTGGGTCGCAGCTGGGGAGTGGAGGGGTTCGCAGAGTGGCGTCAGAGACTCGCTGCCTTCAGCCCTATGAGTGGATTGGCCCCGCAGCATTGCAGCCAATCGTCGGCTGCCTCCCTGCTGCCTGGATGGGACGTCTAGATCACGTGCCTTCGATGCATCATGTGACATGGCGTGGAGGTCGCATCGTTCCTCGTCGCGTTCCATCCGTCACCACCGCGACTCTTGTCTTTCCCCTGCACCCTGATGCTTCCCACAGCTTCGTATGCACGAGACGAAGCTCCCATCTCGTTGTTCCATTGAAAAACAACCAAGCTAGCTAGAAAGCTTAATACAGCTTGAGCGATTCATCAGAAGCCATGTCTTCCAGTTCCAGGCCACTAGACTCGGCTTCCGCACCACCAGTAGCCATCCCACGGCCGCAGGCAAACACCACCTTGACCTCATTTACAACGTTCCTCACGCTCACGATACATACGATACTGTACTACAGGCGTATTTACCCGCAACAGACCTTTCTCATGACCAAAGCCCACAACCTGCCAGTACCCCAATCCCGGCACCCAGCCCTCTGCGAATGGATCAACTCGGCCCTTGCTGCGATACAGGACCAGCTTGCACTTGGCACCGTCTCCAAAGTCTGTGTTGTTATTCACGCCGCACAGACAATGGCCGTCGTTGAAAGATGGGTCTTTGACGTGACCAACTTCCCAGTCTGGGCTACGGGCAAGGGCAAGGAGAGGCTCGGCCAGGCTCAGAGGTTTCAGCGACGGGAAGAGGACGATGATGACGGCTCGGTGAATTGGGTTGATGTGAACGAGGCGTATAGAGGAGCCCTCAGGCGTCTGGCCTATGCTGCCGAGATGAAGGGACCTTTGCCAGAGGGATGTACCTTTACCATGGCCGTTGAGCTGCGAGACGAAGCGCCCGCGCCGATAGGGGTAGGCATCACACGTCCTAATTTCTCGTCAGCTTGATATGTACTCACATCCGATACAGCATCCTCAACCTTGGATTCCTTCCGAACCCGCCCTTCAGCCCGCCTCAAAGATGAACCCGGTACCAGGCCCAAGTATCGGAGGCGCCTCTACTACACCACTTCGTTCCGTCGAAGCTGGGCCCCTCTTTTTCGAGTGTTGGATCGAGGAAAGCAGACCTCCAACGTCGCCACCTTCTACCCAGGACTCTTACTTTTCATGAAGATATCGGCACCCTATTTACTTTTCCAATGCCGGGCTTCGTGAAAGTCAACGTCGATGCAGTAGCACTGGATCAAAGGTATCAAGTTGGCCGCCCTGTTCAGAAGTACTACGAGTCACCACAACTCAACTCTCTGCGGCCAACTTTCAACAGACTCCAGGTTAGGACAAGTTTAAAAACACTGAAGGCCCATCGAACATGGCAGTCACATAGAATGCAACGTTCAACTCAACCCCCGCGGGAGAGGCAGATTTTGGGCAACCGCGAGCTATCATGCTGTTCAATTCAGCATACGGCCCCTTTCGGACTACCTCCTGATAATCAGGGCTAGGGGTATGGGAAAACGCCCAATTATCAACTGGCATGAACGCCTTATTGCTAATAGAAGGGCTGCGAGCTGAAAGCTTGCCTGGTTGCGCATCAAGCGTTCCTCGTCGGGCTCTCACCGACATAGTCATGCAAGAATCCGCAAGGGGTAATACGTTGCGGCGGAATTGCGACAGAGGAAACTACTCGTTCAATAACCACAGAAACCGGCGACGAGGCATGTGTGGAGAGTCGATGGTGCTTATCTGGCCGTGGTTCGCGTTGGGCGTATCACGTCTTCTCCCCTGTCAATGTCGCAAGGTTGCCGTCAACGCCCCTCTAGATTTCGGCACAAATAGCCGGCGCTATTTTGTCTGACGGACAGTGTCCGACTTAGAACCACGAAGAACTTCTAAATGAGCTTGATTCTGTACAATATACACCTGAGGTGTAACCTTTGGGCCCTTTACGGGTAGCATGCAACGTCGTGAATCGTAGTCAACCCCCTCAGTCCGAGGTCGTCGGCGTGCTCCACCAGCACACCACACCACGCGAAGCACGTCTTCGCCTCTGACTTTGATATCATTATGAAGGTTTCGCGGGTCTTTACCGCAGGCATTTTCTGTTTGTTTATATAAGTAAACTAGAAAAAGGTTGTCAAATTTCATCCTTGACGCCAAGTGGAATTCGTTTGCGTAGATCCTGCTTTTAAAGAACGTTGAGCTTTTTTGATTGTCAACTGACTGCAACAGAACCAAAATGGGCGTTCCAGAGCAAAACCCAATACCAGTCGCGGCTGAATTGCCCGCGGCTCAGCAGAGAGGTAACGGCTCCGGATCTGAAGGTGTTCTTACCCCGGTCGCGAGCATTCCAAAGGATGGCATTGATCCCAAAGAGGAGAGGGCTTTCGTAGGTTCCCGGCATGCTCTGCGTAACCTATGCAGTTACTGAACCAGTGTACAGCTTTGGCGTCTGGACTTGTTCTTCCTGACAATTGGTTTCTTGGGTTATATGTTTAAGTGAGTGCAGACTGAGCTTCCGCCCAGTAGGTTGAAAGCTAATACCCCTTGATAGATACATTGACCAGACAAACATCGTATGAACTCTGTTTCCGTGCAGTCTGGCAATACAAGCACTGACACGGCATGCTTCAGAGCAATGCATACGTCTCAGGGATGAAAGAAGACCTCAATCTTTTGGGGAACGAGCTCAACTACTTTACGACGTTCTTCAAGTGAGCCTACGCACTCTACTGGACACCAGAGTCGCAATCTAACAGTGATGTGCCATGCAGCATCGGGTACATGATCATGCTGTATCCCTCATGCATTATCATCTCCCACTTTGGCCCCTCGAAATGGCTGCCAGCATGCGAAGTCGGTTTTCGCGGAGACCTCCTTACGTGACGACATACTGACTGGCATCACAGCTCATCTGGGGCATCCTCACATGCTGCCTCTCACTTGTCACTAGCGCGAAGCAGGTAAAATGCCACAATCCCGAAACATCATAGCTGAATCGCACTTCTGACTTCAAACTAGGTCTACGGTCTACGTTTCCTCATCGGCTTCTTTGAGGGCACAGCTTGGCCCGGCTACTTCACTCTCATCAGCCAGTGGTACATGCCTCACGAGGTAGCTCTCCGCATGAGTCTATACAACATCGCTCAGCCGGCTGGGGCAATGCTTTCAGGCGCGATGCAAGGGGCGCTTTCAACAAACTTTGAAGGTCTGCATGGGCGCTCTGGCTGGCGCTGGGCATTCATCATCAACGTAAGCCACGGGCAAAAACCTTGAGGCTGGTGCTTGGCATATCTGATCCAATCCCTATCTAGGGCGTTTGTACCATAGCTGTAGCTCTCGCCGCGTTCTTCATTCTCCCCGGCTACGTGAGTCCTTTTATGCTCCCCGTTGGATTTCCATGAGGTACCGAAAACGGGATTGCTAACCGATGAAAAAGCCCGAACGCCCGAATCCCCTTGCAAAGTTCTACTTGAAGCCCAAGCACATTGAGATTGCCCTTGCCCGTGCTCGCAGGGTCGGCCGCAAGCCTCAGATTGGCATCACGATCAAGTCGTTCGTGCGATGCTTCTCTTTTTGGCAACTGTGGGCTTTTGCTAGTGAGTGCTGACTAGCTTACGAGTATTGAGCGTCCATATTGATTATACACCCCAGTCGCATGGCCCATTGGTGGTAACTTTACGCCAGCCAGTTACTTCAACTTGTGGCTCAAGTCATTGAAGAACGCAGATGGATCAGTCAAGTAGTAAGTACTCTCCCTGCTCTTTGAACTTCAGGGACGCGCTAATTGTTTCTCCAGCTCTGTTGCCATGCTTAACTACTTGCCTATCATTGGCCAAGCCGTCCAACTCGTGGCAGAGCTGCTCTTCAGTGGCCTCAGTGACTACTTTGGCGTTCGACTGCCATTCTTACTTCTGCATTCGGTAATTATCTTGGATCTTCAGACTTTGTTCCGCTTGGCTGATATCGTGCAGGTCATCAACATCACTTCACAGATTATCCTCATCATACGACCCAGCAACCAACAAGCCTACATGGCTGGCTGGTACATGAACTACATCGGAGCGTAAGTTAATACATACTGTATCCGAGCCCCCAGAATACCAACCTAACTTTGATCAGTGTCTCCACGATGCTGCTATGCTCCTGGGCTTCGGCCCACCTCCAAGGCGAGCCCGAGGTGCGCACCGTCCTCTTCGCCAGCGGAACTGTCCTTGCATACATCATGAGCGCCTTCATCCCCATCGCTGCCTTCCCGGCGTCAGAGGCTCCGCACTGGCGAATCGGCGCGAAGCTGTACCTAGCCTTTGCCTTGGTTTCGGCTGTCATTTTCGTTGGGATTCACTTTGCCTTCAAGTGGGAGGACAAGAAGAAGGCGAAGGAGGCGGTCAAGGAAGAGTCTACGGGCGAGCCGGATAATGCGCATTCGGGTGTTAAGTCTGCGGATAGTGGGGAGATTGCTGGCACTGTTGCTGGTGAAGAGGCTTTGGGGAAGTTTCAAGACAAGCCCTGATTGCTGAGGAGTACTGGAGCCGGAGGGTAGCTTGCAAATGATGAAGAATCTTTGATTCTCCGTCTACTGAAGTCAGCAGCCAGTAGTCAAATAGCCGAAACTGAAGTAGGGAGGCACATGCTTATCCGCACCAAAGAGTTCCCATGGGAGCACCGAGGCGCATCCCATTCAACTTCGCAGCATTGGGGCGACATAGTACTTGAGAACCTCCCTGATGCCATTTCTGCGACTTTTGGTCGAAGTTTCTTTGAACATGTACACGGTCGGAAGAACTTTTGTCATTGAACTATATCAATAAAGAAATTTCGAACCTTAAGGATCTATCTAAGCTTGCGCAGGGTTCATACAAAGCGGCGTGGACTACTTACCCCCTTAACCCCCGGGCATTCGACTCAAAGTCGCACAAAGACATTCATCTCTACATTTCGGTGCAAGGGGAATGATTCTTTGTCGCGATGAAAACTTCGTATTCCTCCCCCTTCACTCTCGGCGTTGAGACGGGTCTCCCTAAAACTCAGTTCTCAAAGCCAAACTACTAACTCTCGTAGGACATAGAATACTGCACAATACTCTGGCCTTCCAGTGTGTTCTTTCTGATTCAAGCTGCAACTCGTTTTATAGCTAGAATTAGAAGTGAGGGACAACTTACTTAAAGTCTTGGAGTAGAGAAATTGAGGTCTTAAGGTTGGGTACGGTTGCTTGATAATTGAGACACAGACTCATCTTGTCTACATGGTCGCTTCGTTCACCCTCCTTGGGCCTTAACTATACATCCTTAGAGTACTCTTTTCAAATATTATTATTTCAAGTACTGCAATAGTCCGATATGCTACAACAATGGCTTGTCGCCATGCCAAATCGACTCCTGCGACAATCAACATGTTGGGTGACAGTTTTTTCTGTGTTAAGGCCACTCATACGACATGTTGGATACCAATACTTTCGTCTTTGGGCAGGCAGATCTAGTAGCACCTTATCGAAGAACGCTGTGCATCATCGCCTTCCAAGAGAGTGGACGCAAAGGGCCAAAATATCAACGTCTGTAAGTTGGCACAGTCACAGTTATCGCATAATCTGTCTAGATGCCTGACCTCTCATAATAGTTATGTGCAGGCAATCTTAGTAAACTGCCTGAATACTTACGAATCCTCGATAACATTCTTCATAGCCTTCGAGAGCCTTCAAGGTTTCAGCACCTGAAATAGTCTCGAAGAAGCGACTTTTTTGTCCGAGACTCAGGCGACCCAGGCCGGCTTCGATCCGAGATACTAGAGGCTATCAACCCTGAAATCCTTGCCATTCTGCAAGGTGACAGAATCAGTCTGGAATCTCTCCTTCAGGTGAAACAGTACGAATATCCAACCGACGGCTCTTGTCCATAGGCAGTGTATCTTCATGTCATCTGCAACCAGAGTAGTACTGCCGGTATATACGCTGGGAAGTCACAGCTCCTCGAACGACGTATCAGAGAGCACGCCCGAGAGCGGTCTCAATTCCAGTAGAGACTTGAAGCTGAGCGAAACATCGGAGACCACGAAAAGCTGCCCTCCGGCCATGTTGCCTTTTGGGTTCTGAGGGGAACACACGATGTCTGGCTAAAGTTTGCACAGCTACCGAGGCAACCCGCCACAGAGTTTGAGAGAGATCGACAGCTACTCCTCTTAACTGTTCTTGAAGAGTACGCTGCCCTCGTCTTCCGGACACTGCCACCGAGCGAGCTAGCTATGAGACTGCCCCTAGACTGTGAAGTCCAACCTTATTCTGGGGCTGGGCTCAACATCTGTGACCCCCTCGACCAGCTGATAAACGGCCCGAGGTCATACGCAAAGAGCTCCAGGAATAGCAAAATGGGGAGACTTGGGTTCCAACTCTATGAAGAGTTCTGGAGGCATGTGGATATCTCGAAAGGCGATTCCGAGACTATTCCCATAGTCTGCGGGGAGTGTAGGGATCCATCGACCGGTCGACTAGACGAGAAGCCCCTGTTTGGAGTACCATCGGGCGTTTACCTGGCCATGTCGAAGCACTGCAGCAGATGCAGCAGAAGGCGAGTTCATGTGCCAAAGGACAAGTCCCGTCCCTGGAAGACCTTCGATTCCGCCAAAAGGGCGTATATCAGATCAAGAAGTCAGCTTCCAGCTGACGTGGTCGATTTCGCAATGATGACCTCTTACGAACTTGCACGGTGGATCCAGTCACACGGTATCCAAGCCATGCCCTCGGAAAGAAAATGTAGCCTCTTGGCGCGAGCCGAAGACAGTCGGAAGAGCCTATTGGGCGCTCAAGAGGCAAAGCAGACACTGAGATCTGGAGATGATGAAAATAATACGACTGGTTTTGAGCGCGATCACAAAGTTATATTGCCACAATGGATGCTCAAGGGATCTTGGCGACAATGAGAAACTAGCGAGATATCGCAAGAGTTAGATAGTATACTTATCAATACATTCACCGAATAGTCTTCGTCTGCAAAGACCATGAAACATCGGCCAGTTAGCCTATGGCGGTTATATCGTTGCCTCCCCACCTTGAAGCTTACCGGACACCTGTACCGCTATGTTGGCCTTGACCTCTCTGGATCCTATCGCCCTATCTTATCCACGGCTCAGTTGAACGCCAGCTTGTTCAGTCTGCGGTATAAATTCAGGAACAGACACTTTGATTTATTCAGGTTGTCTTTAATCTGCAAGTTATTAAAGCAATTACTTCATTTACCATCGTTCCTGTGCCGCGAGCGGGGTGAAAAGTAGTCAATCTCACTCTCAGGAATAACCTCTATGATCCTCGAATGATCTCGCCCCCGACCTTCAAAGTACTCCCTAAGATCATATTGCCGCGTAGGCCTGCCGCGAAACTGCTCCCATCGACTACTTCCCGCCTGTGACTGATGATTCGGACGATGCTGATGCTTCCCAATAGTAGCAGCGTCGCTCTTTGGGTGACTGTGTCTATGCTCGCTGATTATGGGACTACTGCGTCTCTGCATATCCATGCCCCGTCTCGTCGTCTCATTGCCCCTGTTGCTGCTTGTGCTTGTAGAGGAGGAAGAACTCGAGCTTCTGTCGTTGTGTTTCTTGTATCGATCGTGATGTGGTGCCCTTACAGGGACGGGCACAGGAGTTCTCCTGACAGGAGCAGGACTTCGTCTCCTCGGGATCGGACTCCGCCTCACAGGCCCAGTTCCCCAGCTCGTACGCCTCCTGGCTCCTCCACCGCCACCTCCCCCTCCACCAGGAGGCCGTCTCGGAGGACGTACATCGACGATTTGCGCCGGCCCATCGCCCTGAAAGATCTGCTTCACCATCATGCGCGTATAAGTAACTTCCCTTTCTGTCCGCCTCGCCATGATCCGCATAACCTCGTCCCTAAGCTTCTTCACATCATCCTTGATCTGCCACCAAATAAACCGGTGCGCAAAGTCACACTTATAAATCGCACTCCAGTCCGCGAAACTCCCTTGCTCCCCGTGCTTCTCGAAATCGGCCCGGACCTTCTCGTCGAGATCCGCCTCGCCCCACGACGCGCCATTATGGATGGCCTCGGCGCGGTACCCGCTCGCGATGAGGAACGGCCGCTCGAGCTCTTTAAAGGTGCGCCAGAGATCGCGGAGGGTGAGGTAGTGCAGCGGCAGCGTCTGTTCCGCGTAGGAGAATGCCGAGCGGGCTTCGTGGCTGGCGTGCCTGTCGCTGAGGTTGAAGATGCGTTGGCGCAACTTCGTCTTTGTGCGAATTTCTCTCGACTGGTGTCGTAGGGCTTGTCGTTCTTCACAGAGCTGTTGTCTGAGGTTTCCTAATGAATCTCGTATCTCGTTGGGAGCCGATCTTATTGTTGCGACGAAATTGGCATAAAGAGCTATCAAGTTGAGAGTTGTGAGGGCGAAGGAGAGAATGCCCGTCACGAAGGACACCCAATTTAGTGAGTTGGGGACTTCCGCCGCCATCTGGGGTTATCAATGGCTTCCATGTAAGGTCATGATGATCTCGGGTCGCATTCCTGCAACTCGCAATCAACGGGTTGTGCTCGCGTCTTAAGGCAGATGAGAAAGAATGAAGCTGGGTTGCGTGTAAGTCCTCACGTGGTTGCTAGTGTCTCTCATCAGCGCTACTTTAATGTTAGCCTGAACCAGCCTAGATAGCAACATAGCGTTGCCAGTTGTCCAAGGATCGTGAGCTATCCGTCAACTAAAACTCAGAATTTCACCCGTTGATTCGCTTGTAGGGCTCAATCTGCGAGAAGTAGACTGCATGAACTGCATCCCTTCCATCAGGCCGGCACATTATGTCCAGTCGCTCCCACCCAACCTCGCCACAGCAGATGAGCGCAACACTTTCGACAGCAAAGCAGGGATGTGCTTGCCCTGAAGTCTTAAGCCAATTCACCGGCTGATACGGGCATGAAACTGTTATCCATAGCCACTGTGACTGACGTACAACTTTGGACGTCCAGCGCTGGAAGCACAAGGTGTCGTGCCAGGGAGTAGGAACTAGAGAGATCCTTCAGGCTACTCATGCGGCAGATGATCCCATTGTGTTGAGCCTGCCTTACAAAGTTCTGGAGAGTTTCAATCTGCAGCATTCGTTGTAGGCCGAAGGTGAAGGCGATGTAACGGCTGGTCTTCTGGTGTTGTTGGCTGCGCAGACACATCAGTGCCATGGTTCTCCAGCCAAGTCATTCCCAGGCAAATTGCATTCCATCTATCGAGGGATTGGCGCGTTTCTCTGCGTTGCTCTCTACGTTTATATAATTTCCGTATTGAATTAAATTTAAAGTAAAGAAACACTAGTAAAGAAAATAATGATATCAATTTACGTTGGTCAACCTGTGTTTCTTCGAGGAAAGGGTGTAGTCAAAGGAGCTATGAGAAGGTCGTCCCCCACCTCGGACAAGGGTGAGCTCCAGCACTCTTATCGATAAGCACTGACGTCCATCCCGCCGTGGGGTAAGGACTCACCGGCGCAATCCAAAAATTTCCCGACCTCAAACCGCAAACCTCGGGCGAACAAGAGTCACGAATTGACCTTGCCTAATTCCCACCAAGACCAGCACCACAACAATGACCGCCCCAACAGCAACAATGGAGCCCGCGGTCGACGACTCCTTCGACCCAGACCCCGTCGTCGCCTCCTACGACGTCTTCTTCAACCCCTCCCTCCCGCAGGGCCGCAAGCTCTGGGTCCTCCAGCAGCCCAACCGCACCGACCCGCGCACCACCGCCCCGACCGAGATGCGCCTCAAGGGCCGCTCCGGCATGGTCGAGGTCGACGTGCCCCTCGACTACACCCAGTCCTACGACAAGGAAAAGGGCATGAAATGGGGCCGTCAGCTCAAGGCCAGTCTCGAGTCCAAGAACGGCGGCACACACGGCCTTTCTGGCGGCTTCGGCGTCGGCGCGCCGCCGCCTAGGCAGAAGAGACGCGGCGATGTCGATTTAGAGGATGACTTGTACCTCGAGTGGCCCGAGGCGGTACGCCAGGACAAGGTCCTCCGTACGCAGACGCTCGGCGGTCAATGTCCTGATCACAAGGAGGTCCAGTACATGATTGGCGTCTTCCAAGGAAGTGAGTCCTCACCTCCCTTTTCCCTTCCTCCTCCAGCCCTTGTGTTTTTTTGTTTTCACTTTACTGACTACAACTGCCCCCTGTCTAGAGGACCTCCACCTTACCCCCGTGACGAACCTCGTCCACCTCCGCCCCCAACTCCACCACGTCGACGCCGTAGCCCAACAAGAGCGCAACGCCTCCGCCGCAGCGGCCAAAGAATCCGCCGCGGCAGCAGCCGGGCCCGGGGGAGCTGGCGGCGCGGGCCCACAATCGGCCGCCGCGCGCGCGATCCACATGACCATCAAGACGACCCAGGACGGCGCCACCGCAAAGAGCGAAACCATGGCCGACCGCCTGCGCTCCGTCCAGATGGAGAATTGGCGCAAGCTCAAGTACACAGACGAGGACAACGAGGCCGCCTGGGAAATTTACCAGGAGAGTCTCATCATGCGCGCTCCCGGAGAGAAACCGGCGCCCATCGCCGACGAAGAGGACGAGGAAAAGAAGAAGAAGAAGGCCGCCATTGACGGGGCCGAGGAGGAGAAGCCTGTTGTGGGACTGGCTGAAAAGGTTGCGAGGTTGGAGACCAAATGGGGCGACGACGAGCTCTTGGAGGCTGTCAGCGGTATCAAGAAGCCAAAGGTGCCGACGAAGGCGGAAATGGAAGCTGAGGCGGCAGCTGTGGCCGCAGCTCAAGAGCAGGCGCGCAAGGTGAAGCCCAAGGCCCGGGGTGCTGTGGGCGCACGGCGTGGAGGCAAAGCAAGAGCTGCGCCTGCGGCCGCGCAAGCGTCCTCGAGCATGGATCTCACGTAATAGACAGTCCACTCGACGGAGCGTTCGTGTTGCATAGCTAAGGCGTTACGGTGTTATAGAGGGGTCACTCATACAAGATGAGACTTTTACTTAAACTTCAAATGCAGATTTTCTTTTGCTCTAACTAGCAAGACTGGTCTCAACCCACCCCTGATACTCATATGGCGGCGCCATCTCATAGAGTCGTGTGCGTATTGTACACAAGATATGGTTGTGCATATTGCCACGGGACAAGCCATCGTCGCATGTTGAAGCCTCAATTAAACTGCAGTCCCAGTACTACAGCTCAGTAGCGACCCCAAAGCCCTTAAAAAATCACGGGCCATGCGTCATAAGACCCTTTATATCCCAAGCATCCCAATGCGTTTCTTCAGTCAATTGTAATGCGCTCAAAACCGCGAATGGCGCAATGAACGCCGCGATTGCACGTTCTCTTCCACTAATGCATCCCTTTACTGAAGCAATTCAACATCCAAACCAATGGAGTGCATGAACAGGTTGACAGTGGCCAAACGAGTAGTTGCCATGGCGCCCGGGAGCGTCTTGGCGTGGGCGACGGTGTCGAGGACGCGGTCCTTGACAGCAAGGACCAGGCGTTGCTGCTGCTCAGGGTTGGCACTGACACCGACCGCAGCGAGAAGCTGCCAAACCACAACGTCTTCTCCGGTGTTGACGCTACCGGGGAAGATGTGGTGGAGGGTGGGCTCAAGCTTGTTGAAGAACATGTTGAAGGTTTGTTCCCTGCGGGATTGTTAGTACATGTACATGCTGACTAGATGTTGCTTTGCTTACCACTCAGCCCACAGCTGAGGGCTACCCCCGCCACCTTGCTTCAGAAGCTCGGCTCGGCTCAGAATGAGAGTCAGCATTGAGCAGCCAACGCGAGTCTTGGCGATGAGATCAATGTTCAACTTGGTGCTAATAAGACCAAGCACGCCCGTCACAATGTCCAATTCCGTCTCGTTGAAGTAAGCAAACAGGCTCGGCATGACTGCTGCAGAAAAAAGTTCAATGCTCTCACGCATAGCTGCATTAAGACTGACCTCTCCGTCAGTGGTCTGAGCTCCATAAACCACATCAAGCTGGTCAAGGTGGATGATGATCATGGTCAGAATCGTAGTGCGCTGTTCGAAGCTGATGTGGCGGAACACGCGGGGAATGGCCTTCTTGCCCTTGGGGAAGGACAGGAATGCAATGAAGGGGTGGAGGGTGGTGGCGCCAATAGGCTCATGAACCTTGAGATCGTTCCAAAGCTGAGCATTGTAGGCTTGCGCTGTCTCCAACCACTCCTGGTGCTTAGCATGGAACTCTTCGTCGTTTCCATTTGTGGGAGGAGGAGGAATGAAGCGGGCGTGGTCTTCCATCTTCATGATGGTGTTGTAGACCTTTTCAATGTTTCGCAAGATAGCCTTGCGATCCAGGCTGTTCGACTCGCCATGACGCTTGCCGTTGCCAGGACGGTTGGCATCTCCACTACTGTCAGTTCGCTTGATGTTCAGAAGGGGCTTGGGCGTCTTCGCATTGCTGAAGGAAATCTTTCCGAGGCTACCAGCGATGACTAGCTGAGGGTTCTTGGGCTTGTTCTTGGCAGCCTCGACAGCACGTTGGACTTGCTGCTCCATTCGCTGAACATGGTTCTCCGCTGCCCGTCCCTGTCTTCTCATGTTGCCCTGGCGGCTGCCGGTTTGGAAGAGGTAGGTTTGAGCAAAGTTGTTCAACGGCTGGTTGGGGTTCTGACGCTGGCCGCCACGGATCTGGCTGAGGACCTGATAATAGAAATCCTCAGTCAACGAATCATCGTTGGTATTGTCAATAGGGTTGCCAGTGGCCGAAACCAGTTGCTGCAGCTGGATACGGGTGACGAAATTCTTGTCTTGGGGTGTCATAAGGCCGTTATCCTTAGACAGGAGCCAAATCTTGTGGTTGCGCTTAGCACGTTTGGTTTCTTGGTCAAGGTAGGCGGCCTTCTCGTCCTCTGACAGGTGTGCAAGATGCTGCTGCTGCTGCTGCTGCTGCTGATTGGCAGATGGAACACGTCCCATGGAGCCCTGCGAACGGTGGCCTTGGTGTCCATGTGCCTGGTGATGAGCTTGAGGGCCATGAGCGCCAAGCCGTGCAGCATCGCCTGAGAGTCTGTTCGGGTTCTGAAGAATCTGAGTCGGCTGCGAAGGCGGGGCTTGGGGGTGAGGAGGCTGAGCGAGCGGGCTGGGAGTTCCTTGAACGGGCGGGGTCGGCTTGGAGGTAATAGACTGAGGTCTCTGCAGGATCTGTACGGGATGCCCATGGCCAGGATGCTGGTGGGGCTGGCCACCACGCTGTTGGTGATGTTCAACGCCCGGGAAAGACTGCTGTTGGGTAGGTTCGGGCCGTCCGTAGCCATACTCAGGCCCTGGGTAGCCTTGAGGAGGCGGCGCAGATTCCGAGAAAGCTGGCTGAGGGGTTCGTTGGGTGGCTTGCTCTCGCATTGCCTTCTCCACCTCTTCCAGACTCATGACCTTCCTGCTGGCGGACGGGACAGCCTGCGGCTTCGGGGAAGGCTCTGGGATGACAGACTTCTTGGAAGGCATGCCCCAAAGCGACGCGTCGA